CCCAACCATCCATTCAACACATAGCAGCAGCCAGAACAGTCTTTTAAAAACACGAATCTGTTTGCATCACTTCCTGACTATAAGCCTCTGGAGGATTCCTGATGCTCTTAGACTACAGTCCAAACTCTCTTGACAATGATGGCCTTACAATGCTGTCCTCTGGCCTTCATCTCTTATCTCACCAGCTGACCCCTTCTCTCTGTGTTCTAGGGATGCTTGGCTTCTGTGTTTCCAATGCTCCTCCCTCACTGCAGGATCTCTGCACAGGCGGTGCTTTGCAGGAATATCTTTTCCCCTTATGTGGGCTTTCCTTTTCCTCACCTTCATCTTGGCCCATTGTCTAACATCTATGACCTGCTCAGACACATGCATCCTCACATTTCCACCAATTTTCATCTCAAATAAACACCTCCTCAAGGAAACCCACCTGATTCCACCACCCTTCCCCCACCATCAGGCTCTCCTAATGGACTGGGGGCTTCACAGCATTCATCACATTATAATTACTATTTTGTCACCTGCCTTAGGCTGTAAGCTCCATGAGGGTGAGGATCATGTCACTCCTCTCTCACCACTGCCATACTTATAATAGGAACTCAATAATTAGTAAAATTTTACAGACTCACCTCAGAATCATTTTTTTAAAGATTTTATTTTTATTTATAAATGAGAGAGACAGAGAGAAAAGGAGAGACATAGGCAGAGGGAGAAACAGGCTCCCTGTAGGGAGCCCTATGTGGGACTCGATCCCAGGACTCTAGGATCACGTCCTAAGCCAAAGGCAGATGCTCAACCACTGAGCCACCCAGGCATCCCTCATCTTTTAATTTCTTATGCTCCAACTACTTACACAGCTTACATCCAATCACTGACTATATTATCAATCTTAACCCACCCACACTCAGTAAGCACCTACTTCTTACCCCACCCACTCACTGAGCAAAGCCTGGCAGTGAAGAGGGAGATGTGCAGATCCCCATGATAGGCAATGTCAGTCCTTTAATGGGAGGGCTGAGCCCAAGAGGAGTGTCTGTCTGGAAGGCTAAGAAAAGCTTCAGGGTAGAGGGGCTCCATGAATGGGGCCTTAGAGGATGCTTAAGAGGTTGCCAGGCTGGAGATGAAGCAGAGGCAAGGGCGTGGAAAAAAGCTCAGAAAAATGAAATAGCACAAACATCTCCCAAGATTTCTTTTGCAGCTCCAGTTCCAGAACTTACATTGAGACCCTCATCCCTGCACTTCTGCAAAGACTACCTAAATAGATTTTCTGTTGGAATCTATCTTAACATCTGTTGTCATTCTGCTCCACCTTTGCTCAAGAGCCTGCTGTAGATCCCTTACTACCTTCCACTTAAATCTAATGTACCCACCATTGGCTGTCTGCCTCAGCTTCTCCCCATCTCTCACACTACTCTCCAACCTAATCATCTTTGCTTCTACTAAACTCAACACCCACACCTTTCACACCCAACTTGCTTACCTATTCCTTTTCTCCACCATTGATTTGGTAAAGCAGTTTCACCTTTGAATTGATGCCTAGAAAAATTTTTTTTTAAATTTTGAGTTTTAATGTCCAGAAGCCCATTTAAATGATTTGATTGTTTATAGCTAACTTGCTGGTTCTTACTGCAGTAGATGTACTTGAGAGTTTCTTATCCTTTTGTATGCTTAACTCCTTTCTTTTGTCTTGACCTTGAGCAGCCAATCTGTGGTGGCTGGGCGTACCAGGAACGGCCATACTTTTGCTGCTGGGTCTTGCTTGAGAGGTGAGGTGTTACTCAGGGGCCCTGTATGCATTCAGTGTCTGCATCACACCTTCCTGGGGGCCTCTTAAAGGCAGGGACAATGTCTTCTTCATCAATATCCCTGCTCCCACTCCAGCTTCAAGTGCACTACTCTGCAAAGTAGTGGCCACAGTCATGGGGAAGAGGCTGTCCCTATTATAGGCAAGTGTGACACCCCCCCCCCTATATTCATGGTCCTAATACCCAGAACCTCAGAACATGGCTGTGTTTGGAGATATTGTCTCTGAAGAGGTAATTATGGTAAAATGAGGTCATTAGGGGAATCCTAATCCAATAGACTGGTGTCCTTTTAAGAAGGGGAAGATTAGGACACAAACAGATAGGGGTACAGCAGACCCTGTGAGGACACAGGGAGAAGGCAGCCATCTGGCCAAGGAGAGAGATGTCAGAAGAAACCAAACCTGCCGACACCTTGATCTCAGACTTCTGGCCTCCACAACTGGGAGAAAATTAATTTCCAGTGTCTAAGCCACCCTGTCTGTGGTAATTTTTTTATGCCTGTCTTAATAAACTAATACAGCCCCTCAAACCAATGCTCTCAGAACCATAGCTCAAAGGATAGAAGAATGCCAAGTGGCATTGCTATTGCTTTTTAAAAATGTGGTTTTTTTTTGTTTTTAAGATTTTATTTATTTATTCATGAGAGACACACAGAGAGAGGCAGAGACATAGGCAGAGGGAGAAGCAGGCTCCCTGCGGGGATCCTGATGCAGGACTTGATCCTGGGACCCCAGGATCATGATCTGAGCCAAAAGCAGATGCTCAACTGCTAAGCCCAAGTTTTAAAGAATATTTTAAGGAAAAGAAAGCTTTAGAATGAAAAGTAACAATATAACCATTTTTCCTATACAACAGATTGGCAAAAATGTACACACACACACACACACACACACACACACACACGTGTGTGTGCGTGCGTGTCGTGGGGAGTGGGCTGGGGTGGAGAATTTTTTCTTAATTGTAACTACTATTCATGAGAAACAGTTAACATTCCACTGTGGGCGGTCAGAAATGCAGAAAACACAAAGGAGAAAATAAGTCACCTGTTACTCCCCACACTTTAGTATCTGTTTCTTCAATCTTCTTTCTCTGCGCCCTACCTTGCTTACGTCTTTTTTTCTACCCATTTAAAAAAAAAGTGTAGTCAGGATTAATTTTGGGAAACTGCCTTTTCACTTAATGCTAAAATATGACCATTTTCCCCAACATTATTAAAAATTCATTTCAAACCGTATTCAGTGGCTGCCCAGAATCGTCCATGTGCCAAAATGGGCTCCCCCAATCTCCTGCTGCTAGACACACACATTGTTTTCTATTTTTTAACAGATATAAATAATGCTATGATAAACATCCTTGTAGATAAATCTTTGTACACATCCTAGTCTATTTCTTCAGGGCAAATTTCCCAGAAGTGGAATTACTGGTTACTTACATTCTGAAAGAGGAAATTTTTAAAGATTCTTAAAGGTCTCTAGCAGGTTATGCCTCTGTAGGGAATTTATCAATTTCTGACCACACATATTAAAAGCTCCCTAGAGTCTGTATTGTAATTTTAGACATCTTTTTTTTTTTTTTTTTAAAGCAAGAATAAAGAAGACCTAGGTTACCTGGCTATAGCCAATGCAAGAGAGTGAGGTCCATCTCTGGCTACAATGAAGTTGCCCTTCAAGTGAGAGCCTGCTTACTTAGCAAGGAAAGGGAGCAAGGTGGGACTTTAACGGAGGGAACAAACCAACTCCACCTTATTTTCGAAAAAAGAGATCATGATTTGGCTCTCTAGCTCACCACTGCAGCAGAATCAGAAGGAGGCCATGCTCAACTCTGATAGCTCCTTAATCCTTCCCAGCATCACCTTTTGTTTTTCCATCAAAACTTACCCATCCCATGTCCCAGTTCCCTGAGGCCCAGGTACCTTCTGGAGCTAACCTGGTCAGATAATTTCTACCATGAATGCAAGTAACCATGGGACACTAGACCGCCCCAGATAGCATTTGGGGGTGGTGGGGGTGGGGAATATCAAAGTGCCATGTGCTTGGTACATAAAACAGAAAACAGAGAAAACTCAAATTGCATATAATCTCGCAATTTGGAAATAATCACTACTAACCTTCAGTTGACATTTTAATGGAAGCTTTCAAAGCTTCGTCCTTATCCTCCCCCAAAGAGTGACACAGATGGCGATTTGGGTAGTGTGACGGGTGGGCAGGAGGGGGTGTCGGGTGGAGAGGGCTCTATCCAATCACACACCTGGGGGCAACTGCTGATTCCACCTAGGAGTGAAGCCAGCTCCACACACAGCCACCCAGAGGAAGGATGATTTATCCCAGGTTGTTGTCCCAGGCCATCGGCAATGAATCAAGTTGGCTTGTCCCAGAGAACTCCAGACCATCCTTCAAGCAAGCGGCTATGTCTCCAAATGTTTGTTTGTAAACAGATGGTTTGGAGTAAAGGGCATGCTTTCCCAGGAATATTAATGGTGGTAAAGGTCATAGCCCCCAGAGGCCTCACCCGCCCAGGACAGAAGCCAAAGACAGCACTGCCAGAGCCAGCTCCACAAACACAATCACTAAGCTACCAGAAATGTCCTCAGCAGGCCCCCAAACCCTTGTTGCCCCAAGGCCTACCCAGGCTGGGCCCAGGACCCTCTGTGTAGGGCTCCTTCTTCTCAATTCCAAAATCAGAAAACCCCTCACTGTGGCTGACCCCAGCAAGAGAGTAAGCAAAAAGTAATTGGATGGCATTAAAAGATATTAAAGTATGAATGACTGATATGATAGGCCTGTAACTCACACATGAATATTGCTTTTTATTGCAAAAGAACATTTACTCATCCAAGCGCACCTGTATTTTGGTAGACTATCACACCCAAGTAAAGTGGTCACACACAGGCCCTGAGGGGAAGCAGGAAGTCACATTTAGGAAATATGCCCAAACTGTAGCTTCAGCTCTGCTTCTGGCTTCCCTCCTCCTCCACTGCCACCCACAGGTTTTTGGGAGTGGTTGTGAGAGCTTCGGTGCAGGGAAGAAGGTTAGGAAGGCTGGGGCAGACAGGGCAGTGACAGTGAGGAGAGTGGAGGTGGGTCTGCAAACAGGGCGTTCCTAAAATGGGTCCATTAATGATGCTAAGGATGTGCCGAGGTGTGAGAGGGGATTCTAAGTCCCTTCAGGTGAACCAGGGGTTTTGGCTCTCATACTCACCTATCTCCTGGGCTCCTCTCAGTCTGTATTCCGGGTGTGGGAAACCTACAAGCAAATGAGATGGAGATCAGAAAGGTCTGTCAGAAGCACTTGTATTTTCCAGGTCACAAACTGGTGGCCAGATTCAGATCTGGTTGTTTAAAATTCAATATTTGAACTGATCCCAGTATTTAGAAACTGGGGGGATTTCATGCAAAAGTCTGGCTTTCTGGCTTCTCCAGGGACAGCTGCACCTCTGGGCCAGGTGCCAGCAGACCAGTAATGGGCTGGAGCCATGTGGGCTATCTCCTCGAGCCCACAAATGCTCCCCAATCCCAACCTAACCGGCCACTGTGAGTGCTTGACTGTGCCATCCCTGCTGTGGGGTCTGCTGCCAGGATCTGCACAGCCAGGTGTGTTCCCCTTTCAGACCTGCCTGGGCTCCTTCCCCTCTCTTCCCTTTTCCCGCTCCAGACGCATACACTAGAAGTCTGGAGGGAGAATGCCAGGTTGCTCCCTTGGAGTAATCAAGGGTAAGAAGATGGAGTCAGATTCTAGATATAGTTTTGATTTGAGGCCCTGCTGCCCCCTGCCCCTGCTCATCCCTTTCCAGTACCCTTGCTCTGCAGCTCTGGGGGGCTGAATCAGGCAGGGTCCTCAGGGCTTAATAAAGGACCTCTTCATAAAAATGTGGGCAGGAGTGGTGCAGTTTCCCTAGGGAAAGTAGAGTGGAGATTCTGCAACTAACACCCCTAGGGTGTGGGAAGGGGTAATGGTTTCCAGACCCAGGCATAGGGAAGATGCCTGACAGGAGCTGTCATCTGGGGTCAAGGCACACAGCCATCCCAAGGTGATCCTGAGGGAGACAGATGGAGACTAAATAACATGTCTCTCTGCCCCCCTCACTGTATATCCTGCTAGAGCTCCCCATTGGCCCAAGCCAACAGGAAGCCAGAGAGGGGAAGAAGTGCACTGATGAGTGCAGGTCATCTCCTAGGGCACAGGGCAGTGGGGAGAGGGTACAGAGTGGTCTCAAGGGGCAAATAGAAGATGTCCAGTACAGTGGCCCTGCCTTTCTGTACGCTATTCATCCTTCAGGCCCGAAGCCAAAGCTAACCAGGTCATACCAAGTGTCAGGAGCTCAACGACACCCTCACAGCTATTAGTTGGCATCTCTGTTCTGCTCACCTGGACTGAGCCCTGCTCCACCCTCCCCCCCTAGTACCCGGAACCTGGCCCACACTCTGAGGTCCTCTTGCCACCTCTGTCTGTTCTCCTCCACTGGACGCCCTTCAAACTCCTCTCACTGTGGAGCCAGGCTGTCCCCTTCCTGGAAAGACAGCCCAGAGTTCACAGAGATCCGGGAGCAGAACTGCAGGGAACCCACAGGCAGGAGGCTGACATGGAACAGTCATGGAGACAAAGTGGTCACCTGAGAACTCCCCTCCCCAAAACTGTTCTGGGAAAAACTCGAGCCTGACAAGAGGCAGCCATGTGCAGGATTTCACGGAACCCAGCACCAGAAATGACCCAGGAGATCACCTGCTCTGGCACTTGCTTTGTACAGATGGAGAAACGGAGGCCAAGAGATGGGTGGGGTTGCACAGGCCACACAGCCAGACAGTGGCAGAGCCAGTGTTTTATTCACCCACCAGGGTATCCCTGCCCCTTAGCCTGGAATACCGGAGAGCTTGGCCAGGCCAAGGAGACTGATATTAGGCTGGCGTTGCTCAACAGCAATTTTACAACACTGAGGGATCCTCAGTTCATTTACTCCTCACCCCAACTGTTGGAGGCAGGTACTGTTAGAATTTATGTGTTACATATGAGGACGTTGATTCCCAGAGAAATTACCTAATAGGCCTTAAACCAGCATAGGAGGTGAGTTCTGGAACAGAGGCAATAATACTGACAACAATTATAGTAAATAGCAAGAGACTAGGATGCTTTCTCTAGGTTGGCCCTGTGCTGAGGTCTTCACACACATCATCTCATTAAGGGTTTGTTTGTTTTTGCCGTGTTTTTGTAACTGAAGTTTCTTAACTTTTTCCACTTGGCTAAAACATGAAGATGTATCATATCTATATTGCCAGCTTTGTTGAGATATAATTGACATAGAACATTATGTAAGTTACTACATATTGACTTGATATGCTTATAAGTTGCAGAATGGTTGCCATCATGGGGTTTAGTAACAGATATATCTGTATATCCTATCCTATAATTACCATTTCTTTTTTGTAGTGAGAACATTTAGGATGTACTCTTAGCAACTTTCGAGTTTTGATTGAATAAGACTAGCCCTGTGGCTATTCAGATGCCTCCTGACCATTTTGTTACACATACTAATTTTTCTGACTGTTGGCCTCTCCCCAATGCCTTCAGGTCACAGGAGGTGGAAAGCTCAGAACTGGCCACCTGTTACACCCAGTACCCTTCTGGCGATGTTCAAGGGGCTTCCTCAGGCTCCACTGGACCCACCTGCTTCCCACCCAAAGCCCTGAACTCATGCACATGATAGCAAGGTCTGGAGCTGTAGGCAGCCAGTTGTGCCTCATCAGTCGTGCCCCCATCTTCTCCAACAGAGACTGTTGAGATGAAAGATTGATGAGCAATCTGTCCTTGCTGGTGAATTTTTAATTATGGAAGAAAGAAGACCGACCCCAGCCCCTGGCCCAAACCAGAACTGCAGGGAGAATGATTCTTCAATGTCAACACTGTTAAAATTTCATCTACATTGACAACAGCTACGAACTCTGGGTCCAAGTTTTTTGTCTATAAATAAAAGTGAATGGCTGAGACAGAAAGTGATTGGTGGGGAAATCAGCAGCCCCCTCGCATGGAAAGTTCTTGTGTGACATGATGGGGAGTGGGACAAAGACTCTAGAGGTCCTGGGGTGAGTCTGGGCACCGGGGCAGTGGGTTTGGGAGCCCGAAGACCATGCCAGCTGTCAGTCTAAGACTCCTGCCTTTCTACATTGCAGGTGACCCCACTTCACACCCTGGATCATCTTACGGTCAAAAAGCTGAGACAGGGCTGAGCTTGGAGCACGGTTGCTGTGTGGGCGCCCTAGGACTATCCTTGTAGAGATAGACCAGACCAGGCTTCGGGTCACTGCCCCATGACTGCAGCATGCCTCTGGGATTGTCTATGACTTACTCAGCCCAGTTTCACAAGCAGCCAGGAAGGGGAAACAAAGGCCCACATTCAAGTCTCTGCTCCATCATCTACTTGCCCGTTTTCTTGAGCAAGTCACTTCAACCTCAGTTTTCTCTTCTATAAAATGGGGATAGAAACAAGCTACTGTGAGGGAGAGGCAGTGGTGAAGATAAAATGGAGAGGTTGTGGGGAAAACAACGAGCATTGTGTCCAGTACACAGGGAGTTTCTGAAACATGCTAACCATAACAAGGAAGAAAAAACCACCAGCTCTGTTCTTAAACTGCTAATAAACTAGTGAGAATATCACACTGGCTAAAAACAAAACTTGCCAGAAAGAATGGAGTAAGGGTAAAATGGTTCTACAAAATATGTGGAGAATTTTGGGGGAGGGGTCATTTTGACTTGGGGGTAGCAAGGCTTCTCTTGGAATATATATATACCTCCAAGTGTTCCATCCTTTGTGAATTCAGGGACTAATCTCTTGTGGGAAGCCTTGCCCAGCCTGATATTCTCTCTATGCAAATTGGGCATCAATTAGGATGTATCTGGTTCTCAGTATTAGAATTGTTTAGTCAATAAAGTCACAAGTCATTGGCTCCCAGGGTCCCTGGACTTTTCAACTCATGTCTTGCCTCCTCCAATAGTCTTCTCAGAATTGCTTCAGTGCACATGGATCCTACTCTTTCATGTACCACTAGCACCCAAAGCCCAAACTACATGCCCTAAACAGCCTGCTTACAGGGAAGCCCTGGGTTCTAGTCCCAGCTCAGCTCTCTGCTCCCTGTGAGACATTGGCCAAATGCCAGCTACTCGCTGGGCTTCAGTTTCCTTATCAGTGAGGAAGGGGGTTGGAGTCCCCTAGAGTAAGCTCTGGCGGAGCACTCACTCACTAGTCTTTTGAGAGGTTCCCTAAAACAGGGCACCATGTTTCATTCTGTAGCCTTCACCTTCTTTGTAGATTTCACAAAGCAGCAACACATCAAAGCTCTAAATCCTGCAACCTACAAATCAGTTTAGTTTTGCTTAACCTAGAATTTCCCAAACTAACTTTATTTGAACCTTGTTTTGAGTAACATCTATTAACATCTCACAAAACCAGGATTCCCCAGCACCCACTTGAGGAACGCTGGCCCAAAAGATCTCTCAGGAATACCTTCATGTTCTGCCATTCGGCGACTCAGTAAGAATCTGGAGCGTGGAATTTCACTGGGTAACTTTTCCAAAATGTCTCTTTTTCATTTCTGGCCAAGACATAAGGGCACCCTTCTCTAACTCCCATGACAGGTACTGTGTCTAGATCTCTTACATTGTATTGATGGATGTGTCACAGGTTTTTGAGTGAGGGACCAGACCACCGGTATATTTCAGAGCTTGATAAACTCAGTGCCGGAAGCACATAGTGTACACCCCTGAGAATACAGGGGTGAGGATTAAAATATTTAACAAGTGGTATGGCCTTGGCAGTTAGCAAGAGGGACACCGGCTATAAACAATCCATAGGGCTCTCCTGACTATGCTTACCAGTCCAATACCAGCCCTGGTAGAAAGAAAAAAATGAATGAGTTGCAAGACCCGCATAAGAGACTATAACTATTAACTAGAGAGAAAAGGCACTTTCTAAGGCAAAGCCCAGTGCTGTGTTTTCCCCCTTCTGGGCAACTCTGGCAAGGCCTTTCAAGATCTGGGGGTACGGGCAGGGTGGTACAAAGATGATCCCTCACCTCCATGGCCTCAGGCTGGAGCCAAGGCCAGATGAGAAAGTGGGCTTTTCTATGTCCCTCAACAGAGCTGGCAGCAGCTTTAAGATTTCAAATATCCTTCTGAAATCTGAATCTAAAATGGAACATTTTTTTAAGTAAATAATACCCTTGATGTCAGTATTGCTGGAGGAGGCTCAGCAGCAT